GTCACATTTTCGACTCAATTATCATCAAACTTGGTCAGGATGCTTGTCTAGGTAATTGCTTGGATGAGTTCGAAATCGCATGTGAAACTAGGTCACCGGAGCTAAAATAGAAAAATATTGTTTACACTCTAGTTGCTACTGTTTTGATCCAAGTATCCTGGAAATTGGTCTGAAAGTTTGTTTTGATGATTTCTAGGTCAAGTTTGAATATGTGTCACCTGGGTAAAAAACTAGGTCGCACTACTCAAATATGGATAATCCTTGTTAACACTGTATTGGTCACATTTTTGACTCACCTGTCATGAGACTTGGTCAGAATGCTTGTCTAGGTAATTGTTTGGATGAGTTTGATAAGTCAGGTGAGCGATCTTACGCCATCATGGCCCTCTTGTTTCATTATGGGTGCTATATTTACAGAGAGCATTTATCAGAACCAATATGGTATTTGTATTTTTTATTGTTATTTTTGTTGATTTTATTGTAAAAATATCATTGCCCCTGTTTCAATTTGCTATGGTCCAATAATTGACTGTTTTAAGTTGCTATGGTAGAGAAAGAGGTAATTTAGAAACACCAAGAAAAGATAAAACAAGATAATCTGGTACCAGAATAGTAATTATCAGTGAATATTGGCAAAGTTTAAAATAGATTCTCAAGTAATTATCATTTAAAGACAGTTGGAGTGTAATTAAACTTTTTTTGTAAGTTGAAAGTCTGCAGAATTTTCAGGATATCTGAACAAATGCTGTATCCATTGTAGTATGTTGGGATAAGTTTAAGCTAATTATTGCTCACCCATATGATTAATTATTCTCGACCTAAGATCCATAACACACCATAATCAAACATTACAAGGGCAATAACTCTGGTTCCTTATTTTCAGATTTAATTATTACTCTTTTATGCATAAACTTTGCTTTTAGACTTCAAATAGATGTCTCCAGTCATTATTCACATATGACAAGATCCATAACTCTTGCACCTATATTTAAGAATTATCCCCCTTTGTAATTATGATTTTTTTTTTGGGAGTTAAATGACCATGCAAATTAGGCATGCTGTCTGTCCAAACTGGATTTTTTGTTGTTGAGAATTGTCAAACAATTTTGAGGTCCTGCATTTTCTTAAACTCTTGAATATTATTCATTTATAATTATTGTTTTAATCAAAATTTGCCAAATTTTTTATCATGTATTCATATTTATGTGAGCTTTCTTGTAATTTTTTTTTGTCTGAAAAGTATTATATGAAATTTATGAGACAAGAGCCTTTTCCCTGCCAGTTAATACAAAAGTAGACATAGGTAACTATGTGTTAAAGGACGTTATAGATCATGCTGGGAGTTTGTTGGTTTTTGCTTATGCTCTTTTCAGATAATTCTAATGCTTAAAAAATTCAAAGTTAATTTTATGAACAATATTATACATCATTCTGTAAAAATAATTAAGAGATCAATTCTTGTTGAAAGTAATAATTATTCAATATTCAATGCAAAAAGCTGTCTTTTACTCCTGTTTGATTATTTTCTACTATTTCAGACGATTCTTCTTAAAATAGTTGCAGTTTCAAGAAATATTGTCATAAATTTAAAAAACAACAAAGAAAACAGAGATCAAGTTTCATCAGTATTCTTGTATATCCCTGATTTATAAAATGTCAAGTATTTCTGTCTGTCATACGTTGCCTGGAAACATGACTTTTGTTACTTTGTTATTTACGAACATTTCAGAAAAAAGATGTTCATTATAATAATTATTACGCTGTATATATACTATCTAAAGTGAGAATTCCACCAGGGTTAATCTGTCAATGTCATATAATGGAAATATGATTTTATGTTCCCCGGAGATAATAATCTTAAAAGCCATGCTCATAATTTTTGCTGAGTCAGCTAAACAAGTCAGTGTTTGTCATGCTGTATTGTTTTGAAATTCTGTTCTCATAAAATACATTCTATACATTGTTTTTCCAGAGCAATGATTTATGCTTAACATTTTTGTTCCTTAATCACTTTACCTAGCTTTTTATCATTTTGTCTTTATAGTTAACATTTTTAGCTCACCTGAACACAACATGGCATGAAACATCATCTTATGGATCTCAATAAAGAGTGTTAAAATTATGAACCTTGGTTAAACTTTGCCCTGCCCATGTGGGTGTTCCTTAAACTTTCAAGAATGTTCGCCTGAAGGTCTAAAGGCTTTTTAATTGACCTCTTCCAAGGTTGTTCAATGTATCGTTTTATGGTCAAAATTGACCATTACCCGGGGTTGGGGTAAGGGTAATAGGGTTTTCCTTGATGTACATAGTAAACACTCAGAAAATCTTCTTGTCTTAAATTCCATGGTCTGAAGTCCTAAGATTTGGTGTTGAGGTTAGTCATGACTTAAGAAGATGACATTGATACCATTCTGTCATCGGGGTCAGTCGAGCACTTTGGGACCAATGGCTCCCTTGTGATGATAATTGCAGTTGAAATAGAAAATTGAAGACAGGTGCTATACTAAAATAGGAAATAACAGTCATTGTCATGCTCTGCTGAAATACAAAGATAAATGTATTCTATGTAGTACTGAAAAAGAAAACAAATTCCATGTGCTTCTGTACAAGTAAACATGTCATGTACAAAAAGGTTTTAGAGGAATGTCAACTGTACTACTGATATAGATGACGAATTTCATGTTTAAAAAAAGCTCACAGCCAAGCTACTTTTTGTAAGATATTAGTTTGGAGAATACAATTTATGTTTTATGTGTGCTTCTATGTTATATGTAACTGGAGTTGTTTGAATGTGGCTCAATTATAATCACTATATGTTACAGAGTTTGATTCTGATGACAATGAGAGTAAGTATGTGTTATTGTGCAGTCGTCTTGTGATTTCAGTAACTTTTATAGGGTAGTGGTAGAACCTGCAGAAATTACCCGATGTAAACTGGAAACAACATTACATACTTTCCTGCTTGCTTATAGCTTTAAATGGCCCCTTGCATATAATTTTACATGTATATATACTTTGGTCTACAGTCACAGTTTGTAGCATTAAGAAATTTTTGGTTGCCTTGTAATGATTTTATAACTTGGTATTTTTATGGATCAAGCATCCGAAAAGAAAGTTTCATGCTTAAACTACATATCAGTACCTTTATCTCAAGGATAGTTTGATGGAAAGTTTTTAATATATATAAAGAGTAAAGTCTTAAAATAGTCAAAAGAGAGTCCGGATTTTGCTGGAGCCTGTTCATGGCCGGTACAGGTAATTGAGTGCAAGGGCTTGTAACCTCCTATGTCCCCTAGCACTGGCTTTAAGCAGATTTCAACATTTATACATGGTTAAGGTGATATTTGCCATATTTTACACACATTTACAATAATTTAACTTTATGTTGTTTCAGATATTTCAATTTTTAATGATTTCAAAAAGACTTCATTGCAATTTGAAGGAGAATATATTGCAACATCTATCTGACAATATAAGTAATTGCAAGATTCTGGCTTTGGGAAAACTAAAAAAAAATATATTGATTTATCAATCAATGATTAAAAACTAAAAGCATTTATTATGGTAAATAAATCCTCATATGGCAATAATTTTGATATTTCTTTTTAAGCAACACATATTTTAATATCATTTAACAAGTTTGTTTGTATGAAACATTTAAGTACCAGAGCAAAGTTAAATGACTGAAAATAGATATAAAACCATTGTATGATCAAGAAGTAATGTATTTCTTTTTTTATTCTTGATCAATAATGATTTTAATCATGGAATGTTTTGAAACACAATTGAAATGTTAGGATTATAAGTGACTCCAAAAAAATGCAGATTCAAATAAATGCAATGCAAACTGTCACGTTAGACCAAAGTAGCCATTTTATACTGATTACATTAGACATAATTCATTTCAATTTGTTTTAAGTTTTGTGTGGGTATACGAGTGGAATAGCTTGTGATAATTTTCATTTATTTTGTTTTATTGTAGTTGTTATAAGATGTTTGTATTTTGGCTATAATTCAGGTATGTGTTTAAGTCTGGAGTTTTATGCATCTATGTTAAAATGGATTCTCTATGGCTTTACTGTATTAATTGTGTGCTGGTGGTGTCAGGGCTAATGGCCGGAAAGTCAACATATGATTTAAACATAATGACCTTCAATAAGAAAAGAGCTACAAAAAGAACTGTTGATGCTCAAATAATATAATCAAAAGAATAGTAGATTCCAACCCCGTTACAAGTAATTAGTGGGGAATCATAATGCTCTGAAGCATTTTATCATTAATTGTAAATTTGACTGTTGACCTCCTATATGTCCTTATCAGTTTACTTATTGCAATTTACCTGTTTTTGATGATTTGCTTTTAGAAACCATCTACATTCAAGGTCAAAATGGTGTTAACATTGTTAGTATTAAGGTTAAAAACAATATCCACATCAAATCTATTACATTCATATTATTGTTTTTAAGTCTCTGTATTGTATTGATTTTCCTGTCACATTTATCAGTTCTGATAAGAACTAATTAGGACTGTTTGCATTCCAAAGTCTTTGAACATCTTGGTCAATATGTAAAAGAAGTAAGTCAAAGTTCTCAGGGTTTATTTGGATAGGGGAAACATTTATTACATGGACATCCATAAAATCTTTGAACAATACATGCAACAAAAGCTGGCCAATCTGTCCACCTTTACAGTCAGACCAGACTTATCTGATTGGTTGTTCCTTTAAATGAGACAATATCAAAGTTTTGGATTCTGTTTTAGTACCAGTAGGACATTAAAGGCATAAAAAAGACATGATAAGTTCAACAATGGTCCGTCAAGTTTTGGTGTGCATGTTTTTGACAGTCCTTTTATATGTTGTCATAGATTTTTGAACAGTTATTTGTTGTTTGACTTAATTTTGAATTATTTTCATCATGTTATTATGAGATAGTTTAGTAATTAGCAGCCTTATTACAGCATTGAGATTAAAAATAGACAGATTTTCTTTGATCTTTCAGAATATGAGCCAGGTATGATATTACAGGTTAAACATGTGTTGGCATTTTAGTTTGTTATGTTGAAAACAGTTTTTTTTTCCAGTTGAGAGCCTATTAATTGCTTTATATTGAACATATGGTGACTATATAGTTATGTATAATTTTGTTATTATTTTGTAATTCATCAGCATTCCCAACAGATTCATTGGATTGTATAGGTAAAGCTAGTTAGTGTTGTTTGATCATTGCTTACTCCTACACCTTTGCTTGATTCACAAAATCAAACTCCTTTTGATATATATTATAGTTATTTACAACTATAGGGTTTTTGTCAGCACCAGGCATGATGATTTTAAAATGTTCTTTTCTTAGTGTTACATACAGAGAAATAGAAAAGAAGCTGGCGATATGATCCCTCCATATGATCCCTCGCAGCAAGCTTCGGATATATTCCACAGTCATTCACCAGTTTGATATGTATCATGGAATTCCCCTGTCACAACACTGCCAAATATTTGTTTGCACCTGTGTGCACTGAGGTATCATAATGCCAAAAAATCCATGCACCCACACAATACAGACAAGTCCCACCTTTCCAGACACCAACATACACCATATTATAGGATTCTGTTGAGAAGTGTTGTGTCTGTATGTGTTTGTGTGTGCAATGTCTATTATCCTTTTGTGTTTGAACTTGTCAGTAAATGTATAAATATCTTGTGCTATTGTGTTTTCGTAAAGTCTGTTTGTCTGTTAGTAGTTTGTCAATATAATTGTATGTTAGTTGATGACTAGAATGTTTTTTAAAAATCTCTGGATTTAGAATATTTTGTTAGCTTAGTACATAAAAATTACCATCTGAATATGTAAGTTTCCTCATAAAACAAAACAAACAATTAGGCCTAAAACTTAAAAGAAATTAAGAAATTAAATTATTCATTTAACCTTATTAAATTTTATTTTCTCTGCTAATTGATCTAGCTTTATCAGATTCTACTGAGTTATCTACAGCTTCATTAGACAATGTACAGCTGTGCCAACTTTCATTAAAGACTTGTATATATTTAGTATTTTTGAAATTTATGATGATTATAATGTGTGCATTTGTTAATCCTACTTGTAATTAGAAATCCGTAAATCTGTACTGTATTTGTGTTATAGGGTTAATAATCTCAAGTCGGTGGTTATTTGCCAGAAAATGTGAGATGACATCAATGTTATTAGAGATAAAATATACAGACAACAGTTACTGTAGTTACCAGGTTTTAGTGAGCTTTTATTGATACTAACTTAGACAAGATTACTGTATTTCAGTACTCTAGAACTTTACTACCCAGAAAACTATCATACCATCTTGCATGAACCTTTCTGAATAGAGTTTTATGTTTATAAATATATTTTGTTTTGTCGAAATGTTGTTTTATTTAACGTTACTTTCAAGCAAAATGGACAAATGGTATATATTATAAGATCTTTCAAGTTAAAAGAACTTTATATTAAATTAATGGTCTTTTGAATCTTCAAGAATTTTTAATTTGTAAATTAGATGCCTTACTGTAAAAAAAATGTCTTTGTGGTAAATGATTTATGATTCTCAATCAGGATATGGACTTACAGTAATCAAAATGCCTATTGATTATTCTCAAGAAGAATGTACTTATTGTAAAAAAAATGACCAATTTCCAAGCAAAATTGATCATGGTAAATAAAATGCCCAATTCTCATGCAAAATGGACTAATGGTAAATAAAATGCATATTTTCAAACAGAAATAAACTTATGAATTATTCATACCAGTTAGATGCAACTAAAACTTTGGCATCATTTAACTGCTTAATGTACTGGTATTTGATAATCAGAACATGCTCATAAGTTCTCTTTGAAATTTTATTGAATGTAATGATGTGAGTAAATTGAAAGGAGGTCCTTTTTGGATGTATTATAATAGTGGAAATGATATTACAGTTAATCAGAAATATTTTGATGATGAAAATGATTTTTACTGAAGCATAAACTGTCCTTTAGTTGAATATATTGATTTTATCATTACTAGAAAAACAGGTTTACATTACAAGAATAACAAGTTTGTAAGAAAAAAAAATTCAAATTAGGAAATGAAAAAATGAATTATTTTTTTCTCTCTTTTTTTTTTACATATATATAATATGTTATCATTCATATATTACAGTACCATACAATATCTCATTTTATATAGATATTGTTTGCATTATTTATGTGTCTATAAAATGCTATTAATCTCTATTGTTCATAATGAAATCATAGTGGCAATTTGCTACAATAATTAGAACATTTATGGAGTGGGTAATGATTGCATGGGGTTGTATGAGCAGGGAGGTAAATTAACGTCATTTTACCATTAACTATAATACCATTGTCAGATTGCCAAAACATGTCATGTTACATTGTTCAAGCACTGAAATACCATGCTTACATGTACCTTGGGTTTAGTAGGAATTGTCTGTAGAGTAGTTGTCTGTGAAATCTACTTCAAATTATTGGCCCATACCAGGCCCAACCACTGCCATTTCTGAATGTTCTGTATAAGTTTGGACTAAGAGATTTCAAGATCAAATGCTAAAAATAAGAAGCCAAGGACTAAAGTATATAGAAACTAATTGTGTCAGTGTATACTTACAAGTTAAGTTACCAAATAATCAGAATGCTCTCATTTGCAACCTAAAAGACTTACACCCAAACATATAGTGACATCTTGTTGTTTGTAGAAAAATATTATATTTAAAGCCAGTTAAATGATCTTGTTTTTCTACTGACCATAAAAAGGAATAGACATGTGGTCAAAAGTCTTCCTTGTTGACCCTTTGCATTTGGACCATATGGATACATGGCATTATTGCTCTTGCACTTGAACAGTAAAAGGGAGATTCAGGCATAAAGATCCACAGTATAGAAGCTTTGAACTCTTGCCGTTGATTTCTATGTCAGAACGTGTTGACATTTAATTGAGCCAACATTCACACTCACAATACTTCATTTCCCTAATGAGTATACCATTATTATATGGCAGCAGCCATGATGATGTCACAGTAATTAACACCCTGTTTTATGATAAAAATGTATTAAAATAGGTAACATGAAAACTGTCAACATAAAGATAGAGCCACTTCAAGTTAAATACAAGTTTTACCAAAATTTTGACACTTGTTAGCAATTCATTAATGTTCATAATACTATGTAAAATAGCTACATTACACTGGTCAATGTGAAAAATGATGCTGTTGTGATAATTTTCAGAGCTTTATGATCTAGTTGGTCAGGATTTTAAATAATATTTTGACATATAAGTGTTAGGACAAGTGATTGTTATGTCATGTTCAATCAATAATACATATTTAATCAGTTACATATTGTGTTGGTGCCAATAGTTGAACCGTTTATACACTGTGGAAACTAAAAATATGGCGCAGTTAGCCAACACTTGAACAGCTATACACTGTGGAAACTAGAAGTATGCCAAGAAGAAAATTACTGTCAGATGTTTGAGCATACATATAGAATACATTCCTGTATATTTGTAATGTGTGGAATGAGTACAACCTCTTTAAACTATAGTTAGATAGACCTGTAGTGTTATTGTTTCCATACTGTGTCTAGATCTAACTATTTTTATAGCCTGGTTCAACTGTGGGTTATACAAATTGTTAAAGGGCTTTAGGTGTGGTTTTTGTCTTGACAGGGTGTGTAACAAGTTGATCATGACAGTCAGTTGAGCAGTCTTGTTATTCGTCTTCTTCAACTTCTCTGTTGGCTTAATCCTATACATATTCTAACTTGGATCCTAAATCAAGTTCTAATTCTATATCAAGTTCCAGTTCTGTATCAAGTTCCCTGAATGATGATACATGCAGAGCCAGGAGTACATGGTAACATCCATGGTCAACTATCACCATCCATCATCTGCCATTGCTAGTTAGAACTTAAAGGACAATAAACAATCTCAGTTATACTTGGTCACATTTTACTATATCATAAAACATGTTAGGTATTGGGTCAACTGAAATAAAAAAAAAGATCTTTAGAACAAATCAGAAGTGTATTTCAATAAGTTTTAAAGTCTAAGTTGACCTGATCCTCATTACATGAGATCAAAATGTTTTGTCTCATGAAATCTAGGTCAAGGTCAAAAGAATCAAAAATCGAAAGAAAAACTTGTTAATGCCATACAAAAATGCCATACAAAGTTGTCCTCATCAAATGTATTTAAAATGTGTGTCTCATAAAATCTTGGTTTTATCACAGACAACAAGGAGTGTTTTCTAATTCCTAATGACCACCTTGGGTCAAGTAATACATTGGATATACAGAGTTGAAAACTAGACCAGTAGGTCAAATCAAAAGATAAGCTTGTTATTGCCATTGACAAGTAGAAATAACCTTTGACAGAATTGTATTTCTTGATACTTCAAAGGAGAATAAAATTGCATAATCAGTAACAAGATCACTTGAAAATGCATAAAAAATTATGTGATTAAGACCATGTTTCATATGGTATGTTTGCTCCATATGTCACTCGTTTCTAGCAATAACTAATCTTAAGGATATTGAAAAACTATTTGCAAAAAAGAAACTAGGTCAAAGGTCTTGTCATCATGACCCTCTTGATTTGTTTCGTTTTAAGTGGCTGCAGCATCTTTAGGGAAGATACCCGACATGCCTCTTTGACTAGTGCTTTGAGGCTTCCAGGAGCATCATGCATCTGTGTAATACCAAAAAGCCTTCTGGATTTTTCTTGTTATAAAGTTAGGGCCAAGTTTTAACTACTCCATCAGTCAAAGAGTACCAAAACAGCTGTAAACATCTTACCAAAGATACAGGTCAGTTTATTTTAGAGAAAACTGAAGGTCAAAGTAGGTTTTATTAATTTGCTTAATTTGTACTTTGCTTTGATGCCAAAATTTAAATTACTAATTCATTGATGTGCTGCAGGTATCCAACTTTTCAGGGTTCTGTTGTTGTTTTATTTGCTAAGAGATAACAGAAAATATTTGGCAGGGTCACAGAGTAGCATAGGAAATAGATATAGATGTAGCATTAAATGACAAGAAAAAAATTTTTTGTCTCCAAAATTTGATGGATCCTTTAAGCACAGCATGTGAAGTTCATGAAGTTTGTTTCAAGATGTTTCTTGCCAAGCATAGGTGATTCTATTCCTTTACAGGTTTCTTCAATTTACTTGCACTTAATACTGGCAAGTAAAAGGTCTTGTGAAGGTATTGATATGGCTAAAATGATGTCACATAATGGTGCTAATCAGGAACCAAGAAAAAGAAACAAGGCAAAAAATGTTCTTCAGTTAATGCATGCGTATGAAATTACAAAATTAATGAGGACATATTACCATCAGTTTCCAGGGGTAGTATCATGTATGGTTTCTTTTGAAATATTATTGATTTTGTACATAATATATAACATTGTTATCCAGGAAAGCCTGTTTGGTGGACCAATTGCCAAGATTTGGCCAAAATGTGTTAAAATCAGTGTAAAAAAAATAGACAAATAAATCATTGTTATTTATATTATGTTAGTGAATTATGATAGTTCTTGCTCAAAAATTTAGTTAAAAAAATGCTAAAATTAGTATATGTGAAATAATAATCCCATATTCTAAAAATCTGTGAGAGGTAATTACACTCTGTTGAGTATTTTGTTGTTATATCTTTCCTTAAAATATTTTTAAAATGACAAAAAGATATGAACAAGGGCAATGCAAAGGGTGAGGTGAGATGAACTTTTTGTACATATTATATTGGCCAATTCATCATCTGGTTCTAATAAGACCAAGTACAATGGTTCTGCAGATTTTTTATGACAGTATTTGATTGCTACAATGATGCTCAGGTGCCTGGAATGATTCCAATATGTTTATTATATCTTTGACGTCTAGTGGCAAAACTGATTTACCTAGGTCTTTTGCATTTAAGAGTCAGTTCAGTCTACACATGCACACTGACCAGATTTGTTACTGTTTTGTTGACCAATTTGATTATTTTGACATTAAATCACTTAGAACAGCAATGGGCGACTCTAAATACAATGCAAGACAACCTTTTCATTGTACAGCATGCAAAAGACAATAAAAGTACTTTTTGCAGGGTTCATGCAAAATGAAAGTAACTCATACTATGGACAGATGGGGATGCTTGCAACTAGACTTTTGCACATTGGCCACTGTTTATTTTATGCAGTAGGAAATGTATTTTTATGTTGCTGTTTTATGTTGTTGTAGTATAAGTGTTGTTGATTTACATGTTATGACTTTACTAACACTCTGATGACAATATTATTCTGTATTTAAAGTCTTGGTTGTTGACATGCAATATGTCCTGTTTTTGTCACACATGGAAATTTAAGGCAGCAGTTTGTAACCAACAGTCCACAAAATGTTACATTATATTAAAAGCAGTTTATAGCATAAGGTTCATAGGTTACCCAACCCCCCACACACACCACACCCATTTACCCAGTCAGTAATCAACCCTTTAACCTGCTGAACATGGAAGTGTTAATACTCTACCACCGGTAACGAGTCAGGCCAGCCTGGGCATCTGTGCAGTTTGGCCAGGCTCCACACTATTGGTAGTTTAATTGCTACTGAAATCAGTTAATTTTCAAACTGAATGTTCTAAATGTTCACAGTTTTTTGGTTATGATTCATATTGATTCTGTTATATAATATATTACATGTGTAGCTTTAAAGCACCTATACTTTCCATTAGAATCTGTAAATCTTTGTTTCCATTTTAGTATATTATTCTGTTTATTGTTTTTGAACATTTCCTTTTTTTTTGGTTACAAATATAGAGTATTGAATGAGACTATGTATAGCAATTATTGTTTATTTTTCCATTCTCTCTGACAGATGATGAAGAGCCTGCGGTTCATTTCCTTCGTAGGAAGACTGCAGATAAGTATACAAGAGACTGAGGGAGATTACAATTTGCACAATTTTCTTGCACATTGGCTGTCAATCTTTTGCTATTTTTTGACTGGCTTTTTTTTTTTTTTAATATATAATTATATAAAAAATAAACTTTGTGTAATTTGTCAAATGGAAGTGAATGGTCAAATGGGCGCAAATGCTTAAATGGGCGTGCTTGATTTGTCTTTATGCATTTTTACAATAATATATAAATCTTTCAATGATTTTTCTTTACGACTATCTACTGCAAATTATTATAAGACTATAATCTACTGCAATAAACACATATGTTGGGGTGTGTTTGACTTTGAATGGCTAATACATTATATTACCATTCACTTACATTTTGACAATTTTTTTTCTTTGAATTTTTGAATTTTCACGATTTTGCTTTCAGAGGAAGTCTGCGTCTAGTGATCCCTTTAGGTGACAGTGAGAGTATAATACCTGCATGGAAAACCTTTTCAGCTTGTGTCAGTGTTACTATGATGCTTATAAGACATTTGAATGGTTTTTTCATCAAATTTGCAGAGGTGCAGCATTTTCAAAATGGCTTGTCTTTGAAAGATTGTTTTTGAAATTTTTCATAGTTACGCCTAAATGAATCAAAAGGAAATTAATGTTGAAATTCTGATTAGCCTTTTTATATTGCATTGTGCATTGTCTGTTTAGGATATATAAAGTTTTTTTGTGTGTTTCAGCTCAGGGACATGCATTCTTGTAATATGGCCTTTAAATTGGATTTGATGATATTTGATTACGAAAGTCACCCATGTCAATGCCTGTTTGACACACAAAATGAATTAAATCAAATCCTGGCTTGTGTTGCTGAGCAAAATCTTAAATGTTTTGTTTTTTTTATATCCAATTTTGTCTTGAACAAGAAAATAGACACCTTTGATCAATGAACTTGAAATTCAATTTCTGCATGTTTTGTTTTTCTTGTACTGTTCTTAGGTCTCTTTCTTGAAAATTGGGAGTATTTTTGCTGGTGGTAGTATCAATGGTTTCCAGGCATAAGTTTTATCAGTTCATTCTGTTAAAAAGTGTACATTTCAATTTTAAAAATGTACAATTTTACTGTTCCTTTTAATACTTTTTGTCAAAAACATGGTTATAGAAACATTCAATGTAGTAATCGCAACACAATGTACATTATTATTTTGTAAAAAATCTACAGATGAATTGAGGTACTTAACCCTTTTAAAGGGATTATTTAATTGTTTATGAGGAAGAATAAATTCTTATTCAGAAAAATGAACATTTTAATTCTATTTCAGTAACTTCACTTTTCCTTGATTAGGAATATAATTTAAACAATACATTGGTTATTGTTGTGTTTTTTTGAAAGACATTTAAAATTTGACATATGTCTAAAAGCCCTGAAAAAAGTTTGATAATATTTTTTTCTACTTACTTATTAAGGTCTTTTCATGCAATTCTATCAAATAAAATGCATTGAAGAACAATGACATTTTCCCCCTGGATGTTTATGATTTTTTAAACAGTTCGGGCACACAGTTGAAACAACAAATTTTGAAGATTTGCTTTTCTCATTTTTTACATGGACCAGAATATGAATATTTTATATGTATTTGTAAAAGATGGAGTTTTTGAAATTGATTTTGTGTGCAAAAAGAATTAGTAGTATTCCCCATGCCTTAATGTTCTTCCCACTTTAATGTAGACACCATAGATAAAAGTAGTGACAATGGTTGCAAAATTCCAGTTATATCTTAAACTAACCAAATATTATATCAATATTTGAACATGCTGCATGGTTCTTGTTACATATTTGAACATAATTTACTGTGTGTAAAGTATTGGTGATGTATTCTGTATTCTCTATTTTACATTGAAAGATCATTGTTAAGCTGTCACAGATTGTAAAGAATTATTCACAAAATGGTTATGTGTATACATGCAGAGTATGATCTCAACATCAGATTTAATCAGATCAAGGTGAAAGGTCAGATATATAGAAATGTCAAGGACAATTCACAGATGAGTACAAGCTGGTTAAAGAAACAGATAATGAAGGTCAAGGCTAAAGAACAGAACAGTAAGGTCATCATTAAAGCAAATAAGGAAGGTCAAGGTAAACAAGTGATTAATAAAGTTAAGCTGGAAAGGAAATTAGTATGGTCAAGGTAAAAGAATAGGTTAGAAAGGTCAAAGTTAAAAAATACAGATGAATGAGGTAAATTTCAAAGAAAAAACAGACTTGAAGGTCATTGAACAATTGAAATACTATTCCCATTCAATGATAAAGGAAGGTATTGCATATTATATAGGAAAAAATTAAAAGAATCAAATTAATAACATGACATGTAGCTTTCAAGAACCTTTTATCAAAATATAGGCCAAAGGTCAAGGCTGAAGTCCTATATTAATCATAGGAAAAAGTATGGTAATATAAGACTCCAATCGTTATGATCATAGTTGAATTAAAAGGCATAAAAAGTTTGTCTGGAACCAAGTGGTTAAGGTTGTTGACTTCAAACCACTAACACCTCACAGTTGAAGGTTCCAGTCGCACAAGAACCCTCTCATTTTTTTAGCTCACCTGTCACAAAGTGACCTGGTGAGCTTTTGTGATTGCTTTTCGTCCGGCGTCCAGCCGTAAACTTTTACTTTAAATGACATCTCTTCATAAACCGCTAAGCCAATTTCATCCAAACTTCACAGGAATGTTCCTTTGGTGGTCACCTTTAAATGTTGTTCAAAGAATTTAATTCCATGAAGAACTCTGGTTGCCATGGCAACTGAAAGAAAAAACTTTAAATATCTTCTTTTAAAAAACCCAAAGAGCTAAAGCTTAGATATTTGGCATGAAACATCTTCTAGTGAGTGTCTACGAAGTTTGTTCAAATAAAAGCCCTGGGGTCAAAATTGGCCCCGCCCCAGGGGTCATTGATTTTCCCTATATGCCTATAGTAAAAACTTAAAAAATCTTCTTTTAAAGAACCCAAAGAGCTAGAGCTAAGATATTTAGCATGAAACATCTTCTCATGACTGTCTACCAAGTTTGTCCAAATAAAAGCCCTGGGGTCAAAATTGGCCCAGCCCCTGGGGTCATTGATTCCTTATATGTGTATAGCAAAAACTTAAAAAATCTTCCTTAAAAAACCCAAATAGCTAGAGTTTAGATATTAAGCATGAAACATCTTCTAGTGAGTGTCTACAAAGTTTGTTCAAATAAAAGCCCTGGGGGTCAAAATTGGCCCCGCCCCGGGGGTCATTTATTTTCCTTATATGTGTATAGCAAAAACTTAAAAATCTTCTTTGATAAAACCCAAATAGCTACAGTTTAGATATTAAGCACGAAACATCTTCTAGTAAGTGTCTACAAAGTTTGTTCAAATAAAAGCCCTGGGGTCAAAACTGGCCCCGCCCCAGGGGTATCATTGTTTTTGTGTCGCCTTGAAAAGGTGACATATAGGGGTTACTTTTGTCGGCAGCGGCGTCTGTGTCGTTGTCAGCGTCCCCTAAAGCTTGTCCGGAGAATAACTCAGTCACTATAAGTCTGATTGACTTCAAACTTGGTATGCATGCTTCTTTCAATAACGCGAAGTGCAGTGCACAAGGACCGGTACTCTGCAGTTCTTATTTTTTGAGTTATTGCCCTTTGTTAATTTTCATACTTTAATTTTGTCCGGGCCATTTCTCTTCAACTAAAAAAGCTATGGACTTGAAACTTCATAGGATGATAGATCTCATTAAGAAGAAGTGCAGTGCACAAGAACCGGTACTCTGCACTTCCTAATTTTTGAGTTATTGCCCTTTGTTAATTTTCATACTTTATTTTTGTCCGGGCCATTTCTCCTAATGTATAAAAGCCATGGACTTGAAACTTCATAGGATGATAGGTCTCATTAAGAAGAAGTGCAGTGCACAAGAACAGGTACTCTGCATTTCTTATTTTTTGAGTTATTGCCCTTTGTTTATTTTCATACTTTAATTTTGTCCGGGCCATTTCTCCTTAAGTATAAAAGCTATGGACTTGAAACTTCATAGGATGATAGATCTCATTAAGAAGAAGTGCAGTGCACAAGAATCGGTACTCTGCATTTCTTAATTTTTGAGTTATGGCCCTTTGTTAACTTTCATACTTAATTTTTGTCCAGGCCATTTCTCCGAAGTATAAAAGTTATGGACTTGAAACTGAGTCATAGGATGATAGATCTCATTAAGAAAAAGTGCAGTGCATAAGAACTGATACTCTGCATTTCTTATTTTTTGAGTTATTGCCCTTTGTTGATTTTCTTACTTTATTTTTGTCCTGGTCATTTCTCCTCAAGTATGAAAGCTATGGACTTGAAACATCATAGAATGATAGATCTTATTGATAAGAAGTGCAGTGCACAGAAACTGCTGCTCTGCACTTATTATTTTTTAGTTATTGCCCTTTGTTATTTTTCATATTTCATTTTTGTCCTGGCCATTTCTCCTAAACTACATTGTTCACAAGGCGACACGTCCGACTCGTGGAGTTCTAGTTATATAGTAAAAACTTAAAAATTTTCTTTGATAAAACCCAAATAGCTACAGTTTAGATATTAAGCACTAAACATCTTCTAGTAAGTGTCTACCAAGTTTCTTCAAATAAAAGACCTGGGGTCAAAATTGGCCCCGCCCCTGGGGTCATTAATTTTCCTTATATGTGTATAGCAAAAACTTAAAAAATCTTCTTTGATAAAACCCAAATAGCTAGAGTTTAGATATTAAGCATGAAACATCTTCTAGTGAGTGTCTACAAAGTTTGTTCAAATAAAAGCCCTGGGGTCAAAATTGGCCCCGCCCCGGGGGTCATTTATTTTCCATATATGTGTATAGCAAAAACTTAAAAATCTTCTTTGATAAAACCCAAATAGCTACAGTTTAGATATTAAGCACGAAACATCTTCTAGTAAGTGTCTACAAAGTTTGTTCAAATAAAAGCCCTGGGGTCAAAACTGGCCCCGCCCCAGGGGTATCATTGTTTTTAACTATATGTGTATAGTAAAAACTTAAAAAATCTTCTTTTAAAAACCCAATGAGCTAGAGCTTAGATGTTAAGCATGAAACATCTTCTTATAGGTGTCTACCAAGTTTGTACAAATAAAAGCCCGTGGGTTAAAATTGGGCCTGCCGAGTGGGGGAGGGGAAGGAAATCACTGTTTTTCATTATATGTGTGTAGTAAAAACTTAACATCATGAAACATCTTCTAATGGGTGTCTTCCAAGTTTGTTCAAATAAAAGCCCTGGGGTTTAAACTGGCCTCGCTCCGGGGGCCTATAATATACAGGTGAGCTACCTCAGGGCCATCATGGCCCCCTTGTTTCATTTTCAAGTTGTGTTTTGTTTTTCTCTGTTGTTCCAAGTATAAGCAGGTGTATGGGACATAAATTTATAACTTTACTCAGTCTGTGTACATTCATTCAAGATTTTATTTAATTAATCTCATATATAAAAATTATTTTGCATAATAGACTACTGCCTCTAGTGCCTCACACTTAAAATACTTTCTTATTTTACTTCATATTTGTTATGTAATATTATATAACATTATGTTTTCCTTATTGACTCTTTGCCAGTGAATTTAGATTAGAAAGATAGACCAAGAATTTTACAGCATTGCAGTTACATTTTATATTCACTACCTGATATTTGTGTTACTTTTTTTACGCAAATTTCATGCATTTGGAGATATTTTTATTGTAGTTACAAAGATTTTTGACCGGTAATATGACCCACCATTGTAAATGGTTGAAAAGTCTCTAATTTAATTTTTATGCAAGGGTTATATAGGGGTTATATAACTATTTACATGGCCATATAACAGGTCAAAAGTCTGATACTGTACTGTTGTTTTCTTTGACATTATAGCCACATTAAAACCATAATCACCATCTAAACGTCATGACTGTCCTTTGAGGAATAATGTTACAAATATATGCAGTATTACAAAATGGGTAAACATATAATAAAATTCTCTTGGAATATTGAACACCAATATAATGATGAACCTAGATTCTACCTAGTGAAAGTTTTTTCATTAGTGTGAAATAAATTAACATAAAATTGGAGACATGTCCCTTACAAGAAAGCGACGGTCAATTATACATTTTTGAAACGGCATTTCAAAATTTTCCTGAGGATTGTTGCTTAAATATTATGCATATTTTATGATTGTGAAGTGATGTGAGAGAAAAAGACATAGATTATTAGAGAAATTCAAATGATATTTGTTTTTTTTTATTTACCAAAAAATTATCATTCTTCACATTTGTTTATATGTATGGACATTGTTAACAAGAATGTGTTGTTATGGGGTGTTTTTGTTTGTTTTTTCTTACTTTGTCTATACAGCCATGTTATGTGTGAAGTTCATATATAACCTTTAAATTTTAACTTGTTATATTGTTAGTAAATATAAATGTGTGTGTTTGTCTGATTCATATAATGATGTTTTGTGTCTTGGTGTCAGAATTTATTTTTTTTGTCTGGTGTTTGTTGTTATTTTCTAAGTATTTTGTTTCAATCTTGTAATGAGAAATTTCTTCTTGCTCTGCTTATAATCCCTCGTTGTCTTTAATGTGTTTAAAACAAGACAATTTTCAATGGCAAGACTAAAATGTCTGGCGTTTTTCTTTGCGAATGAATCTACATTTGACAGGATTTATAAATATAAAATCCAATTGATATTTGCTGCTTGATTTTCTAAAGCAGCCACCTTGCAGATATAGCAGGGTTTCCACATTTTGTTACATTCAACCTGATTTATCATTAAACTTAAATGAATTCTGAAAAACCGTTAGTTCTCAGACTTGATAGAAAAATTATAAGAATATTATCAGTTTGTTAATTTATTTCAAGAATTTTAAGGATTTTAACTCACCTTGATTTGTGTTTCTTTACGATATTTATATTTATTGTCAAATCATTTAATCAAATATCGTACAGGATAAGTTCAGTTTTCAAAATTCTTCATGCTATCATTATAAAATCAAAAGAAGGGAAATTCATATCTGAAGAAGAGTGAACTTGTAGCTTTTATTACTTGCAGAGGCAGACAATTTCTAGAAAAAAAATTACAGAACAAGTATTCTTGGCACTTCAAGGCTATTTTCCTGTTCTACAAATACAATTTTGGCTGTTATTTTGGCTATTATTTTGTGGTGTTGGGTCATGGCGACCATTTTTAGCTTATTTCAGACTGAGCTACTGATTTTGTTTATTTTCAATCTAATAACTGAATTATTTACAGGATATGGTGGTATACCAGTCGGGATTAGAAACATGGTTATGAATAATTTAAGCATGTTCTATATTTATATATAAAATATCATTAACCATTTGTAGTCTTTCATATATGTATATTATTCAATGTTCTTCCATATTTATGCCCCCATTTTGAAAAAAAGGGGGTATATTGCTTTGCACTTGTCGGTCCGTCGGTCCGTCGGTCCGTAGACCAAATGGTTTCCGAGTGATAACTAAAGAACCCTTAGGCCTAGGAACTTCAAACTTGGTATGGTGATTGGTCATGACCAGTAGATGACCCCTATTGATTTTGGGGTCAAGGGGTCAAAGGTCAAGGTCACATTGACCTTGAAAGCAAAAACGGTTTCCGATCAATAACTAAAGAACCTTAAGGCCTAGGAACTTCAAACTTGGTATGGTGATTGGTCATGACCAGTAGATGACCCCTATTGATTTTGGGGTCAAGGGGTCAAAGGTCAAGGTCACATTGACCTTGAAAGCAAAAACGGTTTCCGATCAATAACTAAAGAACCTTAAGGCCTAGGAACTTCAAACTTGGTATGGTGATTGGTCATGACCAGTAGATGACCCCTATTGATTTTGGGTCAAGGGGTCAAAGGTCAAGGTCACATTGACCTTGAAAGCAAAAACGGTTTCCGATCAATAACTAAAGAACCTTAAGGCCTAGGAACTTCAAACTTGGTATGGTGATTGGTCATGACCAGTAGATGACCCCTATTGATTTTGGGGTCAAGGGGTCAAAGGTCAAGGTCACATTGACCTTGAAAGCAAAAACGGTTTCCGATCAATAACTAAAGAACCTTAAGGCCTAGGAACTTCAAAACTTGGTATGGTGATTGGTCATGACCAGTAGATGACCCTATTGATTTTGGAGTCAAGGGGTCAAAGGTCAAGGTCACATTGACCTTGAAAGCAAAAACGGTTTCCGATCAATAACTAAAGAACCTTAAGGCCTAGGAACTTCAAACTTGGTATGGTGATTGGTCATGATCAATAGATGACCCCTATTGATTTTGGGGTCAAGGGGTCAAAGGTCAAGGTCACATTGACCTTGTAAGCAAAAAACGGTTTCTGATCAATAACTAAAGAACCTTAAGGCCTAGGAACTTCAAACTTGGTATGGTGATTGGTCATGATCAGTAGATGACCCCTATTGATTTTGGGGTCAAGGGGTCAAAGGTCAAGGTCACATTGACCTTGTAGGTAAAAACGGTTTCCGATCAATTAACTAAAAACGCTTAGGCCTAGGAACTTCAAACTTTGTGTGATGATTGGTCATGACCAGCAGATAACCCCTATTGAGTTTTAGGTGAAGGGGTCAAAGGTCAAGGTCACATTGACCTTTTAAGTAAAAACGGTTTCTGATCAATAATTCAAGAACGCTTAGGCCTAGGAACTTCAAACTTGGTATGGTGATTTGTCATGACCAGCAGATTACTCCTATTGATTTTGGGATCAAGGGGTCAAAGGTCAAGGTCACAATGACCTTGTAAGTAAAAACGGTTTCTGATCAATAACTAAAGAACGCTTCGGCCTAGAAACTTCAAACTTGGCATGGTGATTGGTCATGACCAGCTGATGACCCCTATTGATTTTGGGGTCAAAGGTCAAGGTCACATTGACCTTGTATGTTAAAACGGTTTCCGATCAATAATAAGAGAACCCTTAGGCCTAAGAACTTCAAACTTGGCATGGTGATTGGTCATGACCAGCAGATGACCCCTATTGATTTTGGGGTCAAGGGGTCAAAGGTCAAGGTCACATTGACCTTGTAGGTAAAAACGGTTTCTGATCAATTTACTAAAAACGCCAAGGCCTAGGAACTTCAAACTTTGTTTGATGATTGGTCATGACCAGCAGATGACCCCTATTGAGTTTTGGGTCAAGGGGTCAAAGGTCAAGGTCATGACCAGTAGATACTTTATAACCCTTATTAATTGTTTGATCACTGGGTCAGAAGTCATGCATAATAACCTTATCACATGACTAATTGGCTGCTGATAGGGGGCATACATGTTTTACAAACATATCTTGTTTATCAAAGTTTTGGCATTTCTATTCAACAAGTTTTTAGTTGTTCTTGGGGATACCATAATTTATAACTACCGTATATGATTAAAACTTTTAGTCCTTTGAGTACAACTTAAAATCCTTAATTTTTTAAAGGCTTTCTGAAGATTTTTCTGCCTTAAAAAAAATGTAAAGCATTGTTTCTGTTTGACATTAATCAACTCCATTAACTTACAATGTTGAAAACAACCATTGATTGTGTCATTAAAAATCACATTTGAATTTCAGTTTCACACTATCATTGTATTGAAATAGTGTGCACAGGAAATAAATTCTTTACGCAGACAACAGTTCTCAAGATCTTGTCTTACATCATTGGACAGAGAATGTCCGCTCTAATTATGTTACATGCGTGAGATGTATGCTCTATGTTTCTATGTATATACCTGCAGGTAAGGGTAAATCTCCAGATGCAGACTCCGGCGCTATAATCAACAGTACAGAAGATGAGCAACTGCAGGAACTCGGCAAACCAAGGCTTGGTGATCTTGTCAAAATTCAAATCTCCATTAAAGAGTCCCAGGAATTTAAGGTAACTTTGATACATATATACACTCCCATTATATTTCTTAGAATTTATCATGTACCGGTTTTGTCCAGTGTCAGCTATTCGTTTATCCAGTTTTAGCTTGTTTGATTGTATGGCCATGAATGAGAAATTGATTTTTACTTGAAACCAAAAGTGAAAAGTTCACTGTTTATTAACCTGCATATTGACTGTAAATCTCCTAAAGATAATGTATATTTTATTGTTGTTTGCTTTGCCAGGGCTTGAAAGGAAAATGTTTTTACAAAATCCCATTAAATTTAAAAAGGTGGTCAAACCCTTTTTCCAATCAAACTTCAATATACATTATGTGTACATATACATTGTATGTATACATTTGTATGTACATATGCATTTAAGCATTTAGTATATCACTTGAAGTCAAGTTTTGCCAACAATTGCTTATAATCATTGATTAAATAAAAAAGTATAAAAATATTCACAACTGAAACAATC